GGTCAGGCTTGAGGGACTTCTGAGCAATCTGTTCTAGTGTGAGATGTCCCTGATTATTGTAGGGGATTTGGACTAAATGACCTTTAGAGGTCCCTTCCAACCCAAGACATTCTATGATTCTATGAAGATGCAGTAAAAGAATATGTGAGATTGTGTTGTGAACAGAGTTCTTAAGCAACATTTTATACATGCAAACATACAGAGATGCCCCCTACCTAGAAGTGTTCAAGGCCAGGTTGGATGGGCCTTGGAGGAACCTGGTCTGGTGGGAGGTGTCCCTGCCATGCAGGGAGCTTGGACTGGATGATATTTAAGTTCCCTCCAACCCAAACCATTCTAGGATTCTATGATAAATGTAATATGCAACATCTATATTGATGTGGCATGTGGATAGATATTATTTTTATATGTGTTCAGGTATATATAAGAAGATATACACACATATATTAAATATATATATAATTTCCACCTTTGATTGCTGAAAATCCCTAGGCACTTGGATATCCTCACAGGTTATCCCTAAGGTTTGGGGATCCCTAAGGTTTTGGATCTGGGACATCAAACCAAAGGCCAGTGCTGCTTCATGTCTGTGAATTCCAATCCAATACTTTAAAACCAAACCAAAATGAAATAACTCTCTGTCGGTGAAAACGATGTGCTCCCTTGCAGGACACGCTAAAAAAACAACCGAGCAGGCTTTCTAAGGCCGTGCTTTCTTCCAAGAACATTGAGCTCAGCCCCAGCTCTTGCCTTGCTGGACAAGGCTACAGGTTTTCCTGCATTGCCATCTGCTGGGGGCTGCGCCCAAAGGCAGCGCCGCGCCCCCCGCAGCGCCCGGGGCAGGGAGGGCACAGGGGATGCTCCCCCAGCTCCCGGCCCAGCCGGCAGAGCCCTGGGGCCACCTGAGGGTGGTTTAACAACCGCTAGAAATGGAATTTGTGTAATTACCCAGGCACGATTTTGCTGAAAGGTGAGGAAGGCCAGAGCTTTCCAAAGCTCATTTCTTCTCTTACCTGAAAAAGTGAAGCACTTTATACTTCCCATAGCTTTGTGGGCTTAAATAATCAGTTATATAATTTTTATTCTCAGAGAAAATATAACTTTTCTTTTTTCTTTTTTTTAATTAAACATTTCATTTGCATGAAACAACCTGAAACACAGAACACAGGTGGTTGTCTGAGTGACCTCACTGAGCTCGTGCTGTGCTGCTGGATGTGCTGCAGCTCATGGCATGGAGTCAGCATCCTAAATTCTGCACTCAGCTTTTCTGGGGTGCTATCACCTGGTCTTCTTAAAAACTGACTTCTTCACATGTGTTGAGTGTATCTACGTGTCTTGCTTTTTGCTGTACTAAGGTTCAATCACCCAGAAGTTTGTGAATCATTTTGGGAGTCTTAGTAGTGCACAATATAAAAGAATGTCTGTTGGGCAGTGGGACTGGCATGATACACTCACTGCAGAAGCTGAGGGCATGCAAAGGGGTCCTAATACCTGAAACATGAATAATTATTTTCCCACTCTGCTCCCAACTACACATTGAGCCCCAGAAGTGCAAAACACCTCCATAAAAGCATAAATAAATTAATGGCTCCAGAGAGTTCGCCAGCCTTGCTAACTTCTTCAAGTCTTCCTTCTTCCTTTTACTTATACTTCAATATTTCCTCCTTTCTCAAACTGTGGTCTTTGCACTCTCTTATTTTTGTCCCAACTACCTCCTCATCTCAAGCCAGGGACTTTCCTTCTTCCTGCAAAAGCTGACCTGCAGAAATAACATATTTGTAAACACAAAGAGTTCTTTTATCATGACAGTAAAGAAACTCCCTAGAAAAGCTTGGTTTGATCCACATGGCTTTCTTGATTGCTGCTAATAAAAGATGATGGAGATACCAAAAAAGTCTGAAGGCCAAGAGCATGCTCATTGGGGCACTCTCCTGGTGCTGAGGGAATACAGTGTATTTTGATGGATAACTGAGGACTTGCTCCTGGGAATGAGTGACCACAATGTCACTGTGGGTTCAAGCTACCTGATGCACTAACAGGACAGAGAAATCTGAAATGGAAACCCACTGATGGGATGGTGTTTGTGCAGTGGCTGTGTGACATGTGGAGCCCCATTGCTTGTCCATATCCAACAAAGATGACAAGTGAACATGACATCAGGAATGAACATCATTGCTCCCATTTTAACTGGAGGCAGTGCTATAGCTTTTGACAGCTTCAGAGTTCTCTCCTTTTCCACATCCTTGGGGAAAAAAAAAAAAAAAAAAAATGACATCAGGAATGAACTTCATTTCTCCTATTTTAACTGGAGGCAGTGCTATAGCTTTTGGCAGCTTCAGAGTTCTCTCCTTTTCCACATTCTTGGGAAAAGAAGAAGAAGAAGAAAAAAAAAGTAGCTCCTTTGGGTATCTGAAGACACAGCTCTGTGTAGTCTCTCATTTAGAGAGACCAGCTGGAGTGACCACAGTTCTGTTAGAGGCTGTGGCTTTCCAAGGACAGTTGAGCTCAGACACCAGGCAGAAAGAGCTTCAATAATGTACCATCAATCAGTTGATGTGACACATAAGCCAGTGTCGTTCAGTTGTTTCAGAAACTTCTGGTAACACTCTATGTTTGAAAGCAGTCTTATTTGCATACCTGTGAAAGTAGCATTTCTGTCACTGTCTGATTTATCATCAGAGGGTCTTCAGGCAGGATTTGGGCTGGATTTCCTCTTACTGGAAGGTTGGGATTCTTCTCTGCCTTTGCACTCTCCTTTTCTACACATTAACATACTTCAAGCTCTTCCATTCTGAACCACCTGACCCAAGTCCTGCCTTAAAGGCTGGTATCCCCAAGACCCCCAGAGACACCCGCTTGTAGTGCAATAGGATGTGCCTTCATCTTCTTGGAGTGCATTCCTGTAGAAACATTACCTTGTGATGTGGACATACGTTGACTAGCACAGAAAAACGCTCATTAGGTTCCAGTTAAGAGTCTACAGAGATCTTTCCACAGAGGAAAAAGCAATTTACCCTCCTTGATACCACATACACACCATGCTGGTGTGCAGTTTCAGGGAATGCTGTAGGATTTAAAAGTTAATCTAGGCATGAATGTAAGTTATGAGTAGGAAGGTGCTCCATGATTTGTGCTGGTTCTCCTACAGCTATTCCTGCTCCATCCAAATAACAAATGGTTATTTAATTAGTGATCTACACTGTACAGAGCAGGTTCATTCATCTCCTCCTATGACAAAATTATAAAATGTTACAGTAGGCTGAAGTGTTGTCACAGTCAATATTTCACATAATTAGAGAAGGTCGCCAAGTATCTTTGGCCTTGCATTATTGATGGTTTAATGAATAGACTATTTCTCCTTTGACAACATCTGTTTAAATATAGTCCTCACCCCCTAGGAGGTAGTTCCCAGCTTTCAAATAACTGTCATCCTTTTGCTTAAATCAAACCCATGGTTAAGCATCTATTCATCTCACATGGAAGGTCAGTATTGTCTTTGCAACCCAACTGGCACAAACTCCGTGACAATTTAATATCAGTGTTTATCATGTTTCTGCATCTTCAGGCCTGAAAAAGTTATTTTAACTCCAAATTATTTGTAGAGGAGCCTTTTTTTTTTTTTCCCCTAGATCCACTTTGGCAGGAAAATAAAACCTCCTTTTTAATTTCCTATCATTAAGCTGAATGCAGCCATCTCAAAAGTTCAGTGGGGTTTCTGTCTGCCTGACATGCTCTTCATTGAGAAGCTGGAAAACATCCCAGACAAAGAAACATCTAATAAAATTGTGGAACTGTTTCCTTCCTAGATTTTTCTTTTCTAAAAAGACAACACCAGAAGGTTTAGTATTACAGAAAAGTCTGAACATTCTTTCCCAGAACCACCAGTCTGACCTTTTAAATTTGGGATGGAACAGATGGCTTTTCTTTGATATAAGCATCTGACCCAAATAATTGCTGACAACGGACAAAATTCTGGGGTTTTCTTTGCCTGCACCTTTGGCCAAAGATACTGGAGAAACTGGTCATGCCTGGAGAAACCCTGTAGGAGAGAACATTTCCATTGCAAATGTCTCTTGTCAATGATGATAGCATTGCTTATCCTGGGTAGCTGGCAGACAGGACAGTGCTTCTGAAGAGTCTCTACTTGTGCAAGTTCTCCTTCAGTTTGGAGAACAACCCACAAAGTGTAACTGTGTTGCTCTGGCTGATCTCTCAGCACAGAGGTAAAAACTGCAACTTCTTGAATCAACAGCCTGTCATGATCCACATGACATGAAGCAGCAGACTCAGGCTTTGATGAAACCAGGTGTAATCTCATAATAATATTCAACCTTGAGGCTCTGAAGGGGTAGCAGGTCGTGTCCAGCTCTGCCTCTGCACTGAACAGTGTCCTGCATTCCCCTGTGCTGAACAGTCCAGAACAGTCACATCACTGGAAAATCAGTACAGGGACAGAGTACTTGTGACTTCTGCAGGTAGATGAATTCTTCAGTGTTCTGGTTCTCATCAGCTTTTCACCAGGTTGGTCCAGATGAAGAAAGTATAGAAACATTTGAATGTTGGATATTTACTAGGTTCATTAAAACGAAGGGGAAACAAACTCAGCAACTTTAGCAAACACACTTTTACAAAATTACCCTTGATTTAAAAAACAAAACAAAAAGTAACTAGCTTAGCTTTCACTGGGATCTGCCTAAGGGGCTACTGTGAATGAGTTTGAAAACTCAGCATTAATTCATCAGCTCATTCTTTGCAAAACCATATGGCTCCTTGCAGGGATTTCTTTAAACATCATTCATGGATATGAAATTGGTGACTTTGTAGACATTAACTATGTTGCTTGAGGCTCATTTTGAAATACTGCTTCTAGATACTACAGCAATGCTAATTTTGCAAGCAATATCCTAATAGAAAGCAGTTGTTCAGGCACTTTCAATCAAATTAGGAAAAGACAGAAAAGTAAGAAATACTGAAGGAGTAAACTGATCCAAACTTTGAAGATGAGCTGTGCCATTGTGTGTGGCTTTCATGTGGAAATCCATTTAACTCAAAGGAAGGCAACAAAGAGGAGAAACCTTATGATGAGGTAAGATGTCGTTGGTTTCACATATCCAATCAGAATAAAGAGAACCACCCCAAGATACAGATATATTCATTAACTGCAGTTAATTTATTTGAAAATACAAGTCCATTGCTTGCAGAAAGTGTTTAATGACGTCCCCCCTTATCACAAGAGCCAGCAGAGACAACTGCAACACCAACTTATGTACGTTACTTCCAACATATGCCTTAACTGTGGATTAACAGCAATACCGTTGGTATCACAGAATCATAGAACTATAGACTCATAGAATGGTTAAGGGTGGAAGGGACCCTAAAGATCATCAGGTTCCAACCTCCCTGCTATGAGCAGGGACACCTCACACTAGACCAGGCTGCACAAGCCTCATCTAGCCTGGCCTTGAACACCTCCAGGGAGGGAGCATCAGCAACCTCCCAAGGCAACATATTCCAGCACCTTACTACCCTCATGGGACATCTTCTTGGTGTTGACGTCTAACCTAAATCTCCCCTCTTTCAGTTTAAAACCATCACCCCTTGTCCTATCACTGCCCTCCCTGGTGAAAAGCCCCTCCCCAGCTTTCCTGTAGCCCCTTCAGGCACTGGAAGGTGCTATATCCAACATTTTCAGATGCAAATAAGTATTCTAAGTGTCTCCTTTCTTTAGCACGTTCAAAGCAGTGGTTAATCAGCACCTTCAGAGATGAGGCCCAGCAGAACATTTCTAATTGAGCACCCAAAGCCAGGGGCTTTGGTCAGGGGCTGCCAACAGCGAATCCAGGGCATCCTACCACCTCCAGTAACTGAACCACACTTTGTGGGGCTGGTGCAAAGGCAGACCAGAATGTGGACAAACCTTTCAACCCCTCTCTCACCACTGGTGACCCTAAGGGCAGCAAGGCACATGCCAGGGATGTGCCCTTAGAGCACAGCCACAGAGCACAGCACTGGATGCTTTCCTGCACGTGGGAAAAGACCAGGGACCACTTTGGTTCACCACATTATCCAACTACAGGAGAATCCTTGCTGTGCTTTCAGGGTGAGACCCAAGTAGGTAACTCCCCCTTCCTACGTTCAGTGCCTCAGCTTCTCTCAGTGCTCTGATCCTTCACCAGCTTCCCTCTCCATATGCTGGTGAGTTACCAACGTTTCTCCAGCACTCTGAGGTTCTCAAGAGGAAGGAATCATGTAAACATGATTATTCACTGACACTGCCCTTGAAAGTCCTGACAACCGGGGTGTGTGTGTGTGTGTGTGTGTGTGAGCTGGTGCTGCTGCCCCCGCGGGTTCAACCCCTCCGGACATCAAGGGGTTAACGTACCCCCCCCTCGTGCCGTGACGTGACGTGACGTCACCAGTACGTCCATTGAAGGGGAAGGTCCGGGGGGCGGGGCGAGGCGGGTCCCTGAATGGGGGGCGGGTCCCT